CCCCCCCCCCTCCCCCCCCGCCGTCCTGCAGCGTACCCCGACCAGTACGGCATCAAGCCGTACACGCTGAGCTGGGGCGCCGCCGACCCGGCCGTCCGCGGGCCCGTGATCTGCTCCCGCCTGCCGTCGTCCATCAAGCAGCGCAACGCGCTCGGCGCGCACTCGGGCTCGTACTCGATCTACCGCGCGCTCGCGATCGCCATGGGCACGCTCCTCCCCTCGCACAAGCCCGACTACTCCAAGACGGAGCCGTCCGTGCCCATCCCGCCGCAGCCGGCGTGGTCGGACCCGTCCAAGATCGTCTCGTTCGACCCGTGGGGCCACCTCGTCCCGCACGTCTTCCGGCGCGAGCTGGAGGAGCTCGCGCTGGACGTGCGCCCGAGCATCGCGGTGACCAAGGGCCACCTGAAGCTGAGCGAGATCGACGAGACGGCGCGCAGGGGCGACCTCGTGCTGGACGGCAAGATCCTGCTCAAGAGCCTGCCCCTGCGGAACGCGGACGGGTCCGAGAGCGCGGCGGACCCTGGGGTGGAGATCGCGATCAACAAGGCCGCCGTCGAGCCCGTGTGGTTTTTGCCCGGCGTCGCCGAGCGCTTTGGGATGTGCGTTGTCGTTTTGGGCACGCGGCTCGGTGCGCGGAAAATGGCGCCTGACTGTGTTGTGTTTCTGCAGCTCTGAACACCTGCTCCGCCGTGCCTTGTTCGAGGACACGGGGGGGATGTACCCCGAGCTCATCACCCGCCCGGACATCAACGTGTTCCTCCCCCCCATCGGAAACCTGACCGCGTATATCTGTAAGTCTGCCCCCCCCTTGTTGCCGCGACTGTCGCTTGACCGCTTTGCCGGGGCAGTCGGCAACCCTGCGTATCTATCCGACGAGTCGAAGGAGCTGACGCTTCGTGTCCACGACGAGTGTACGTGTGCCGCGCGTTCGTCCTCTTCCTTCCTCCCTTGGCCCACACCTCTTCTGCACAGGCAACGGCTCTGATGTGTTCGGGTCGGACATCTGCACCTGCAAGCCGTACCTGATCTATGCCATCGAAGAGTGCGTCCGCACCGCCCAGCGCGGGGGCGTCGGCCTCGTCGTCTACTTCCGCAAGGAAGGCCGCGCCCTCGGAGAAGTGACCAAGTGCGTGTCCGCTCCGGCTCCGTGCCCCCCCTCCCTGACCGCGCCCGGCCAGGTATCTCGTGTACAACCTGCGCAAGCGCGGCGGCGACTCGGCCGACAAGTACTTCAAGGCGACGGAGCTCATCGCGGGCGTGAAGGACATGCGCTTCCAGGCGCTCATGCCCGACGTCCTGCACTGGCTCGGCATCAAGAAGATCGACAACATGGTCTCCATGAGCGACATGTGAGTCTGGCGTGCTCTCTCTCCCTCCCTCTCCCCCTCCCGGTGGCTCCCCCGCTCAAGGCTCTTCGCCAGGAAATACAACGCCATCGTGCAATCGGGCATCCCCATCCTCAAGCGGTACGACATCCCCGGTGCGTCGCGGCCGCTCTCGTCTGGCGCGCTCGCTGATCTCGCTGCGCAGAGCACCTCGTGCCGCCCGACTCCCGCGTCGAGATCGACGCGAAGATCGCGGCGGGATACTTCACCAGCGGCAAGGCGGTCACGGAGGACGATCTCGTCAAGACCGTGGGGAGAACCTGGGAAGAGACAGAGCACTAGACCGGCGACTGCCCCTGTCGTGCAAGTGCCGTGGCGAGCGGGCGGGGCCGTTGCCGTGTGACCCAGTCGTGTCGAATTCAAGCTGTTGTAAGATGTACAGTAGAGGACTTGTGTGACATATAGAATACAGCCTGCGTTGAAGCATAACATACTAAGAGTCCCAAACGCGCGCTGACCCAGTTCTTTGGTGTTCCAATCGCGTCTCGTAGCAGCAGTCAGTACATGTGAAACTCAAGGGTATGCTCTACCAATCGTACTCTAACGGGTCGCCCCAATCGTCGTCGTCCTCGATGACGTTGAGTATCTTGATGGCCTTCTCCGCAGCCGCAAACCGCACCTCTTCCTGGCTCGCCCTGCTCCGATAGACCTCCGTCACTTCGACGACCTCGGAGCCGTCTACGAGCACAGCGCAGGAGACGTTCCCGTCCGCTCTGGTGACCTCGAGCTTCGCCTTCCGCTTCGGCTCCTGCTTGTCCGCCCAGATCGTCAGGCGCGAGATGGGGTGCTGCACGTCGACGTCGTCCGCGACGATGCGCTCCATGATCCCGACGACGCCCAGCGTGCGCAGCACCCCGCGGACCGCGCCGAGGTCTCCCGCGGCGTCGACAAAGACCGCGCCGAGCAGGCTCTCCACCATGTCGCTGACGAACTTTGGCGACTGCAGGCTCGTCAGCGCGGCCCAGGGGTATATCGCGTCGCGGTCCAGCGCGTCCTGGATGTCCTGGCCGCCCCGCTTGTACCGGCCGAACGCGACGTTCTGGTCGTCCAGCACGCGGTGGCTCGAGTGCAGCAGGCACTGGTAGAGGTGGATCGTCTGCCGGTCGGGCGTGGTCGTCACGCCCTCCGCGGGGGTCCACCGGTGCGAGATCCCGTCGACGTCGGTGTGGGTCCGGAGGCAGATGAAGGCCAGGAAGTGGGAGTTCACGAGCGCCTCCTTGCGGATGTGCATGTGGCCCGGCTTGTAGTTCTTGCCCGGCGCGTGGTAGAGGAAGTCTGTGACGATCATGTCCAGAGCGCTGTCGCCGAGGAACTCGAGACGTTCGTAGGACATGGACGCCGTGTCGCCGTGGTAGCTGGCGTGCGTGAGCGCCTGGACGAGCAGAGCCTTGCGAGAGAACTGGTAGCCGATCATGCGCTCCACAAGAGCAAGCTGTGGCGGAGGATTCTCAAGCTCCTCGGTGATGGCAAGGATGTTCTCTATGTGCACGGGGATCTTCTTCCAGGTGAGGCCCATGCCGAATATCGAGGTGCAGTCGACCGCGAGATCGAACCCTCCATGCTCATATGCAGCCCCGATGAGCGATTCGACAACGTCTGCCAAGACTTTCGTAGACAATGCCTGCGTCTTCTTCTTCTTATCGTCGAGTGGTATTGTTTCCTCTGTACTCACGTTCTGTACGTCTACATCCGTGATATAATGAGGTCTCCACTTTCTGGGCACAAAGCGGTCGCGAATGATCCACTGATACAGGCGCTTCGAAATCGCTTGCTTTGCGAGCTGAATGTTGGACACAGCGTGATCTTTGCGTCGGGCAAGATATCCCTCGTGCCAGAGAGGGTGATCGGCGAAAAGCTGGATGGTGGTGACATATTTCAGCACGGTATCACCCAATGTCTCCAGCCGCTGGTAGTTGGACAGTTCTTGAGAGACAGGTGCCGTCACGGCAGTGGTGAGGAGAGAAAATGGTGCCTGAGATACTGGTGATCCAGCCAACAGTGTCTCACGCAGGGAAACGACCGTCAAAACGTTCGCCAGGGCCCTGAGGACAGATGGTAGGTACATGGCGAAGTAGACGTCTTGGTTAGATACTAGCTCTACGGTCGCGAGACTAGGCAGCAAAAAAATCGATTCCTCGTTGGGAAGACCTTCGCTGGGGGCCGCAAGAGGAATGAGGAAGTTTGCACGCTGCGGGAAGGCTTGCACCTCCAGCAGTGGGTATGTGATGCGAATATCCGGATGGGATTCGTATCTCTCACGAAGTTCTTCCTCCTCTTCCTCCGTAAGAAGCTCGTAGCGCCATCGGACGAACCGCCTAAATTTGCCAAACCTCTCATTCGACCGAATGAGGGAAAGATCCGTTGGAAACCCGAACTGCTTGTTGAACGCCTCGACATTAGCTCGTTCGGCGGTTTCCAGGCGCGTCGCCACAGCGCGCTCGAGACGACGCTTCATCCATTTGCGACGTTTCTCCCACCCAGGTTCGTCTTTATTTTCCTGTGCCGGCAAGAAAAGATAAGAGAAGTCGGTTTTGTCCGGATCCGTGTGAGAGCCGTATAGCGTGAAGAATAAGCGACGAGTGTATTCTCGCGCGCGCTCGATGTAATCGCTCCCTCCGTCAAATCGACCTAGGGGTTGAATCCGCACTTTCACGCTACCTCGCCCGGGCAAGTGCAGCGTCGGCGACTCTTCATCGGAAAGCGGCGGCAGAGTGTCTCTGGTTAATATGTATAACTTTGGCAGGCTAGCTATGACGAGCTCTGCTCGCCACCATCCGTGACTGTTTGTCTCTGGAGCCCAGGGATCCATCTGGATGGACACCTGTTCCATCCCGGCACGCTTCTCGATCTCTGCCAAGAGCTGTTTCACTTCTTCACCCTGATCGGGCTCCATGGCACTCGTCAGAGGCAAGAGATGGTCGTTTAACAATCCCGCCTTGTGGAGTTCGACATAGGCTTGGAAGGCTACGTGTCGTTGAGCTGACCGCTTTGTTCTGTGTTCTCGGGGTGTAGTAAAGGTACGTAAGCTACAAAAATGTCGTTACTGGAGGCTTAAAGACTTGAATGGAGCGAAATATGCTCACTGCTTCGGAAGCGCTCTGGGTAACGTTATGGTAGCACCCCACGGTCCCTGATAGACAGGAATACCTTTCTCTTCATCTTGTTTGGAATGCCAGTCTTCGGGGAAGTCGGGAGGATCGAGATCATATGCTGCATACTGATAAGCAGAGTTAGGGAGGACCGCACAAAAGTGATTCAAATGACTGGTAGCAGAATGCAGGGTAAGAATGGCACTATTTGGTATGGTGAGTAAGAAACGCGAGCGCCGACCGTAGACGAACTTACCCTGTAGATGGCACGACATATTGCAGATCGACCTCCTCGTCATCGTCTTCCTCGAAAACTGCACCGGAAATCCTGTTAGGATCATTGTATAGGGTCATCATCTTATATTCCGTCTGCTCCCACTCTTCAACTTTCTGTCGTTGTTCTGCTCCATTCTCAAACATCAGAACGAAACTGCTCCTACTCTTTCGCGCTCTGCCCCTGCTTTGCGCCCATGATACGGTATTCGGAGGTAGGTCAAATCGGATGACACTCCCGCACGCCTGAATGTCGATCCCTTCCTCAGCCACTGAGGTGGAGATGATCAGGTTCTTTTCTCCGCTCCTAAATTCAGCGAGGGTATCTAAATGAGAATCTATGACCAGCTGCCGGGTGATATCAAGGAAAGCATGTCGACTAAAACTCGAGGAACTACCAACAAGACAGCCTATACGGAAAAGCTGTCCAGTCTGGGGCAATCGCCTAAGTACCTCTGCTAAGGCAAGTACCGTATCCCGACGGGTGACGAAGACAAGACCGCTGTAACTTTCGTTCTGCGATCTGAATTCCTTCTCCTCCGCGACAAGACAATTGGCCAAGGTCCAGACCTTGCTAGAGAGGCCAGAAAAAAGGGCATTTTCGTCGAAGGGCACCTTGATAGGTTTTACCTTAGCCAAAGTATCTAGGAGATATCGCTTCTCGGTATTCCCCCAGCTTGCCATGATGTTATTGTAAGGATCCGCGGCACGCTGTGCCTGTTCAATGACTTCAAGGACATACCAATCCGCCGCCCACGGTCCGAGTTCTAGTCCTATGTCTTGGGCCGCTCGAGCGAAATCTCTCAAGCCTTTATGACAAAATGTGTCCTCTTTGCGGATGGTCTTCGACAGTTGCTGATCGATGCGCCTCCACTCGTCCCCGGGATTGGCTCGCTTTAGCTGATTTCGCAGTGACTTGACATATGGATCGTCCTCTATCTTCATTAAATCAACTACCGACTGCAAAGCTTGATAATTGGCTGAGGGGATTTCGTCTTCGAGATAAGGCGGACAGTCATAGAAGATGTGTTTGAAGACCGGCCTGTGTACGTATTGAGCAAGCTCTTCGCGGTGCATTCTGGATGACCGGATTGTGCTGTCAAGGTTCCGCTCCAATGCACTAAAAATGGCATTGAAGACACTTCCGCCATATATGCAACGAAGGACCTACTGGAAAGAGGCGTCCACATTCCCTCCGTAAATAGGGCTGGCGGTTAGGCCGAGCACCATTGGCCTCATTCTACCATTCGTGTTCACGCACTCCGAACGTGGAGGAAGAGAAAAGTAAAAATTCTGCATGATCATGTTGTAAGGATGTTTGGACATTGCGTGGTGAGCTTCATCGAAGATCAGGAGGCCTATGTCTCTACCGAGGTCTATGTATCCCTGCACAAATGTATCAAGTATTTCAAAATCGACTAGAAAATTGGGAGGGAGACGTACATGGTGTAGTGCGTCAAGTAATATCTGCGGCGTCGATACAATTACGCGATGAGTGTCTAGAACGCTCCGCCACAACTTGGGATCGATCCATTGTTTGGGTTCGGAAGCACCAGATATCGCTGTCACAGAAACTGGGATAGCGCTTTTGATGACTTCGCTTTGCTGCTCGACAAGGGCAACGGTGGGCGCCAGAAACCACGACACCTGGAGGAATCACAATTCCGTTAAGCGAAAGGTACATATGGAAAGAATATACCTTCGAGAGTTCACGCTCAGATTCCAACTTCATTCTGAGCACAGCGATATGAGTCTTCCCAGAGCCGGTGTCCAACGCAATGACAAGATTCATGCGAAGACTTTCATCCAACATCTCTTGTTGATATCCGCGCGTGCGGACAGTGGTCGCCGGTGCACCATTGGAAACCTCTGGAGATCTCATGGCGTGGCTTTCACTGATTACGGGAACGGGAGATGCCCATTGTAAGTTATGGATGGGGAAGAAACAGCGACGAGAAAAAGACGAGGCTGGAGACCATCAGGGCCGAGTGCAGCAACGTACAAGCTGGTCTGATGATCTCGATCTTCACCGTATTCTCGAGAAGACGCAGTTTCCCCAACCGATATGCGGCACCAACGCCACAAAAGCACGAGGCCACGGAAAACTCACCAATAATGACCGTTCAAAGCTCAGAAATGAGAACGTTGCCGGAAACCACCACTGCAGTGTGAAGAGGAACAGGAAGATCAGTTGAGAGCCAAGAAGGGACCCGCAGCTCGCAGTCACCTCTACTTACCAGCTTTATAAAGGAAACAAAGGACTCGGAAGCATAACCAAGGTTTGACCGTAGTGACCCAAGGCCCTGGGCCTCTCACGGGCCATGCATAGCATGTCGGATAGACGCCACAAGAAAGAACAAAACCATTACATAGCGAATGTGCAGTTCAGCTTACAATTGTGCGATTATGATCGCAGTTACTACTTAGGGATCAGCTTCGAATCTATGGTGGAACTGCATCCTGATAGAACCCGACAGTGGTCATTGTGTTGTAAGCATTAATGGGGTAGTGGTAACCTGGGTCGTTGCCATCGACCCGCCGGGGGTTCGATTCCCCCTTAATGCACTGTAGGCTTTTTGCATATTCTTTTGCTTCTGATGGCAGTCCTCGTCATATTCTCTTTGACTTAGTCTCGCAACTTTCTATCGTTACTCTTAAGATTGCCTACATCGTCTATATTCAACATTGGTTACATTGCTGGATTCAGGTCACGGTCAACGTTGTACCGTACAACTTGGCAATGTCAGACACGTTCTCCATGTCTCGAATACGACCTCCGGACCACGATCCTGACCATGATCCGGAATTACACAATGTCACCTCCCTCGAGAACACAGACGATGCTCATGTCGCTGCCATTCATCCCCCATGGAAGCGTCGTCTGTATATGCTTCTGGAACGCCCGACTTCGTCCTTCTCTGCTTTCGTCTTGCATGTCGTGACGACTTTCCTCATCATTCTGTCTGCGGTCGTGACTATTTTGGAGACTATTCCTTCGTTTCACTCTATTTCACCTAGGATCTGGTTCGGTCTAGAGACTTCCCTTGTAGTCCTCTTCACAGTCGAATACACCGCAAGATGTGTCGCGCATTCCTCGGACTTGTGGACGTTTCTGAAGTGGTTTGGATGTGCGTGACTTGGAATTCTCTTCTCTGTACACAGCCACTGATGTCTTTCCAGCATTCTTCGGCATCATTGACCTATTGGGAATTTTCCCGTATTACATTGAGATAGCGCTGCGGCAGGATACTGTTAGTGCTAATTTTTCTAAGCTTTCCTCTTGCTGAGTTTTTGTGCTCTTCTAGTTCACCTTTTTTAGGTTTACAATCCTGCGGACGTTCCGACTTCTCCGCGTCTTCCGACCATTCCGCTATAATAACACTATTCTCCTGCATGTACCATTGCACTCGTGTTTCTCCTTGTTGTAGGCACTCATGATGTTCCTGTTTCATTTTCAGGACTATAGAAGTCATGTATTTATCATTTCGTCGGTCTCAACATGCACTGTTGGCCCTTTCTTTCTTCGTTATAATGGTGTTAATCGTATTCAGCACTCTATTGTATGTCCTTATATTCATGTGCATCTCCAATTAGGCTATTGTGTTTTATAAGTCGATGTATTCGTTGACACAACGCTCCTAGGTATTTCGCTGAACGTGGAACTTGGGATGAGGTCCTGGGCACATTCATCAACTCTGATGGCGATCCCAGTCAGTTTGCGGTATGTGTTATAACTGTTCGCCTATTTTTTCACGCTTATCTGTTGCGCAGTCCATCCCTGCTGCAGCATGGTATGTGGTAGAAAATAATGCATTACTTCCACTTAAACATTTAAACACTTTTAGGTTTGTGATAGTCAGTGAGTCAGCTGTACCTACGATTTGAGTTTATTCCCATTGATACACAGCAATAACTACCGTGGGGTATGGGGAAATCACGCCACGGTCTTTTCTTGGCCGTCTTATCACACTCCCACTCTTGGTCTTCGGCTTGTTGCTTATCGCTCTTCCCACCTTCGTTCTGGGACGCGAATTCAGCATGATATGGGAGCTTATGAAAGATCAAGTCCGCTCTATTGGTGCTGCCTTCCTTGTCTGTTGAGTATTGACTCGCTGTTTTTCTGGCGTTGGCAGGTCACGCGAGAAGAAGTACTCAACACTCCTGCGGTCGACCCTCTAACGTCTCCAACCCTGCGAAGACAGTTCAACATGTCTATGTCGGATCTACGTGGTGACCCGACCATTATAGGCGCAGGAGTGTGGCGACGCAGAAGAAATAGTGAAGACGTGAGCATCCCCTACAGACAAGATACACACGAGAGCTTGGATCTTCAAGCGCAAATTGCTGAGTTGAAGGCGGCGATCGAGATACAGGGGTCAATGCTGCAGCGTCTCGTACAGGCGGTGGAAGGAAAGGGGAAGGGAAAGGAAGATAGAGGGCATGATGATCCATTAATGCGTACTAGAGAGACAAACCCAACAATCATTGTGCGCAAATAAATAGAATGCGTTTGAGCTGCGAGTACAATATTGTATTTTCAAAATATGTATTCAGCATTTATCACGAGACGTCAGTTGTCGAGGAATCACGAAGGGATAGATCCATCATCGATGAACTATTTACGACAAAGAAATAAAAATCAGACCTAATGCATTAAGGGGGAATCGAACCCCCGGCGGGTCGATGGCAACGACCCAGGTTACCACTACCCCATTAATGCTTGTGTGTTTGCCGCGATTCAACATATTATCGCCAGATACTTTTATTATACCCTTACTTAGTACAGTTCTAGTATAAGGTCTCATTCAATGCGTTGTGAGCATATCAACTCTAGTAGCCTGCTGCTCGGGGGCAGAACCAAGGTGGAACTCATCCACAGCCATTTCCAAGCTATCTCGAGCTGGGAAATCATTCTTGTTCTCTAGCAATGGCGACGAAACGCACGCACAAGGTTTTCCAGCAGGGAAAGAGACACTGGGAATTGATACCAGCTGTCAGCCGGAGCGGTGGTCTTGACAAGGAAGGAGATACGTGAGTCAAACCCATCACTCCATATGTGAGAGACGCGGTAACATAGTGCAGTCGTCCAGGCTCAAAGACTTTAAAGTGCAAGAGGAATATTATCGGTTCATCTGTACAAAGGTGAGCGTTGCGCATGTTCTCCGTCGCATATCATACAAGCGATACGATTGTGGGGTAGGTAGCATTTTACTGGAAGGAATATCCGTGTCCATCCGCCGATGGCGATGTGAAACGGAAACAGGAGAGTCAAGCAAACATTCTAATCCTGTTCCGTAAGTCTGAGTATGATACGTTTCATGCCAAACTTACCTCCATTAAAGGAAAACTCAGGGAAGGACTGCAATCGACTAATCGCACGGATGCGTTTGCTCTCGATGGTAAGCGAGATGCGTGCACACGCACCCCTTGGCGCCTCGTATTGATGATTGCTACATAGTGTACGAAAATTCGCTTCATTTATCGATTCTCTTCCATTCCACCAATCAAGCCACATCCATTCTCTCACATCTCCTACAACGGTCCTTCGCTCTCTCATCACAGTCATCGACGCTGCGAGCACAACGGATCACCGTTCTTTCACTGCTACACAACATATTGGTTGGCTATCCTTCTCAATCTCGCTATTACGAACAGCTGTACTCGCTTCCACGCCATATCTTGCCTCGCGATTCTTGCGCATCTCAGTGGTTGCACAAGCTGACGCGGAGCCTTCGAACAAGAGATTATGCAGTATTACAAGACTTAACGTCCTGCGAGGCATTTAAAGGAATTTTCCCGGATACAGTGGATGGTGCACAGCCAGTGACAACCCTACCAGGTGCACCCACCAATCTATCCCTTGAAGCTGCTTGTACACTGGTTGATGAAATCCGTAACAAGGCGCGGGAGACAACATGGACCATCTTGCGTAGTGCTTATCGAGAACTCCAATGTCTTCCTAACACCGAAGCGCGGCATGACAAGGATATAGATTCGTTAACGAGCAATTGGCTCCTGCGATCATTGGCACTGCGCCCGATCACTAGCAGTATGGATGACGTTGATAGCTATGCACTAATAGAAGAATGGCTAGTACGCAGATGTACACAAGGAGAAGTGAGGCGGAAAGAGGGTCATGGAATGGAAGATAAATGGATCATATGTAAGGCTCCAGCGAAGGGAGGTTCGTAGAACGTGTGACTTACGTAGTTGAAATACACCTAGTGCATGACACATAAGTAAGGAATCAGACCGCTGTTTTATATGAGGCTTATGCTACTAATAGGATACTGGGTCAATTACTACGCCGAGATAACCTTGACAGTTATTATAACTAGGGAAAAATGGTCAGGAAACTGGCCTCATGGCACCCATCAGCACAGTTGTTCACTTGACGAGATGAAATGTGTTGACGACAATTTGGACAATGTCGCGCCATTCGGTCATCGCACCAAGTCCTGTAGAGTACATCTTAGCGAGCACGCTCATGATGCAAACGTCGCGAACCTGCAGTAGAGCAACCGATGATGAATAGCACGCACCGACATCACCACAAGCGAGCGTTTTACCGATGGGTCCTATGATATTGTAGCCGACCACCTCGCGCACCACACGGAGATGCTCATTGGTCAACGGGTGCTCATACATCAGCGTGTTCATCGCTGGAAAGACATAGGTTGGGGTAGTCGGTGCGAGGGCACGAAGCAGGGAAGTCTATAACATGGGGACAAGATTATAGAGACAAAACGTGCGCACACGTAAAGTCCGCGCACCGCAAGATTATCACAAATACCATGCGCGATCTTAGCGAGAGTATTTGCAGAGCAAGGTGCGATGAGAACGATATTGGCCCATCGACGTAGCTCAATGTGTAAGATAGGATCACCAATTCTAAATCCACCCTAACATCAGATAAAACATGTGTTTATACATTCATTGTGTTTGCTGCACTCACGTCTCCAGCCCATTCGTCTTCGTCTCGCCAGACTCTGGCTCCGGCCTTCTCCACGGCACTGACGTCGAAAAACGCCAACGATGACTTTGTTGAGACGACTTCAACTTTTACGTTCGCATACTTAGATCACAATGAGGAATGTGAAATTAGACGTATATGGTGTGAACAATAAAACGCAACACCAACTAACGGACAAAAGCTCGGAGACAATTAACGAGGCTTTGATTGAAGCCACACTTCCCGTTGTAAGCAGGAGAACGTGAGTGTATCCTTGTATACGTTCCTGTTCGGCAATGAAAGTACGCTTGGACATAGTAGCGGTGCAGTGTATCAGACAAGAGTCTTAGTAAGGCAAATCATGATACGGCGCTTGCCTCACCCGCGTTTCTACATAGATGTGACATCACACAGTCGCCGATCGGTGAGTTCAGACTTAGGACTAGTAGCTCTCCAATTACTGCTTGCTGACATCTCTCGTCATCCACGACGTATCTGCAACGAAACTGATACCGACAAATGTAAAGATACAAGGTACAGACAATCATAGCAAACTCCTGGCCCACATTGAGAGCATGCGACGATTTGGCATCGCGCAACCAAGCTACGCATCACACAACATCCAATACTTCAGCGGAGGGTGCGATTTCGACATCCACAAGGTGTTTTACATCAAGTTCCGTCGTGTTTAGCATGTCTGTGCCGCCTGCCTTAACGGAGTAACCAATAGAAGCCGGCAGTTCGCTGGTGTGGTAAAGGAGCTCTTCACCCTCGTCACTTGTCTCGTCGTCTTGATCATCGTCGTCCTGTGTTGCAAGAGGAGAAGGACCAGTCATCTCGCCGTGCGGAGAAAGTGGGGGCGGAGGTAAGTATGCTGCTGATTATAATTCTGAAAATGGAGAATTCCGCACAATCATTTCCGAAAAACATACCAACACCCCTTGAGGAGGACTCGTGGTCTACATTGCTGCCACGTTGCGTATCCGTTGCATCATTAACCAGGGCATTTTCTGCGGACCTTACGCAAATCTTCTTTGTCAGAAGAGCAATGTCAGATACACGCGCCTTGAAGGCAACTGGCAGGGGAGAGTAACCGAGGTGCGCTCCCTGATTCGTATTAACAGCGCTTGACGCAAAAGCCGAGTATGAGTGCATCGAGGGAGTGAAAGACAAAGTGTACATAGGTGGCCGAGACAGCGCAGATAAGTAATCAGACTGTTCAGAAGAAGGCGGGCATACGGGAGGCTGAGCGTTGGTGGCTTCCAGAAGAAGCTGAGACAAGTATGACGAGTAGGGACGGCTACGACGGTCCCAAGAATGACCCGCTTGTAACTCGGGAGTAGAGGGAACGGGGAGGGTACCCCGACTTAAATGCGCAGAGCTATCCAACTGGTGGCCCCTTGCTTCGCAGTCGGGGAAGCAATTATATGCGGTGCCAGATGACCAGTAGTGATAAAGTGTCTGAGGAGGCATCGCGAGTGGAAACGCAGCAGGCATGGAGCCAAGAGATGGAGAACGAGTCAAAGAGCTTGTGCTCGGAGTAGTGTCGCCAGAACAGCTCGAGGAAGAAATACCATAACGCAGTGGCACAGTAAAAGAAGTACCCGGTTTGCCTACTTGCACTGAGTAGTCAGACTTAGATGATTGGCACGAACGACAAGAACGTGTGTCTTGATCCTGGCCTTGTAGTTCTGCCCCACTTGTCGAAGCCCGTTCTATGCCACCTACAACAGGACTAGCGACGAGAGTAGTCGGGTCAGGCGAAGCTGAAGGTCCACTGTGGAAAGGGCCACCCATAGAAGACGCGACAGACGAGTTGGATTTCCGCCCCTTTGATCTACGTTGCCTCTGGAGCCAGTTCCTGATCCATTTGTAAGTTCTGCCATGAATCAATACAGCCCATCGCGACGGTCAGTTTGCATAACAACACCATGTCCTGGCACCCAACGCACAAACCAGTTTCTTCAGCCGCCCGTGCAACTTCTTCATTCGTAACGTTCGCACCAGCATGTCGGTACAGCCTGTTGAGCACAGCGACTTGCCACTGGTCGGCAATGACTCGCCCACGGGGAACTACGGTTGCAGGAGCCCTCCGAGTAAGCTGTAAGTGGGACTGACCAACGTCGACTCCCCGGTTCATGTTGAGGTATGCAAGAAAGACAGCCAAAAAAAAGGCTGGAAGTACGCAATACCAATCACCGGGGTCGCTTCGTCGTTGAGTAGAGCACAATTGACCTCGAATGGGGCGAAATTTAAATGGCTGGACCTATTTCGTTCTCCGACTCAACTGGTGGCTGCACCTTTAGTACGAGTAAGCAAGGGAGATGTCCTTGCTAGCAGCTATAATACATGTACACCACTACTCGTACAACATCGATAGATCCGTGTATCCCAAGCAACAGGATTATAGAACCTAGACGCAAACGCGCAAAATTTGTCTTCGCTCGCTGCGCAGCAGCTCAACCACGGACGCACTACCACCTGTCCACAATTCTTCCACCAGCCCATACGAGGCCTCCGCCTCCGATAGGTACTAACAATACCCACATACCAATGTCCCAAACAATTCTGCGACCAAGGCGACGTCGTTGCAATGTGCGCTCTTTCCGCTGGAGGAGCTCGTCATTCCGAGAGTCGCTGTGCTCGTCACTTTGTGCGCTACTTGGACTTGTCATAACCGGTGTATGAGGAGGGACGACGATCGATAGTGGCCGGCGGAAATTGTGAAGTATGATGTGAATAAACGCTATGGAAATCAAATGAAGGGTCAGATTCAAGTCAGTGATTGAAGTCATTTAGAAAGATATATATTTACCGGGAAGGAAATATGTCCCGAGGAAAGTGGAAATCCAGAGAGTGTCACTCAATATACTCATTACAGACTTTGGTACGAGGGAGAAGCCGATGGTGAAAAGATAAACCAGACACTTTGAAAGAGGAAGAGGGATTGCGCGGCGGAGAGAGAAGGGTAAAGGTATCCCAGGGGTCAGAATCAATATGGACGGGACAGATAGCACCAGAGTACTGGCGCTGAATATGGAAGTCATGGTTGCTAGGAATTCTGGGGCCGTGTCCTGCGACTTTCAATGATCTAAGTTGAGACTATGGAAGATGAAGAGCACGTATGTCGAGACTCACCGCAGGCCTTTGGTTTGATTGAGAGATCGCAACGGGGATGATACACAAGACAGCTACTCCCACAGAAAGCACGGACAGCAACTTGAACGAATGGGATCTCCGAGGCCTTGTGCTCAGAGGTTGCATTGTCCCTCGAAGGGAAGCATACAGAGGAATGGTCGAGGATGTAGTAAATGCAAAGGGAATGACGGCTGTAATGAAGTCAATATTAATTGAGATTCGGAATTTACGTGACGTACACAATCCTCTCCATAGGGTCCCCAGCGAATTTGAAGATGCATTCGATGCGATAGTGCTCGACGCATGAGTGTATGCAATGCAGATTATCCAAGCCACAAAGGCGGCCAGTGAAGCCCAGGTCGTATATACAACTCTGCTGATGCCCAGATTCGGGGAGAAATAAAAAGGAGAAATGATGACTGCCAGTAGGAGAATTATTGCTATGTAAGTGGGCAGCACCAGGCGGTCAGGGAATAATGGAACCAATACGTCTGTCGACGCTAAAATCCGGACCGTGTGTCAACAGCACCCACCCAGACAGAGTTCGCGTATTCGCGCAACATACCTCTGATATAGATTGCTGACAAGAGGATTCTCAGTAACCCCGAGCCAAAACGGACGAGAAATCTTAGGAATAGCCTGCGACCTTCCTTTCCCCTTTCCCTTGCAAACGCTTCCAGCACAATTTCCTCCAAATCCGCTCTCCGCACGTACCGCGCCAGCATATACCAAATTTGCCTCGCGAATGCTGATAGGCCCGCAAAGAACAGGAGGGCTGGTAAGGTAACCTGTAAGGATGCGGTACAATCCGTCACCAGCATTGCACCAAGTTTGATAAAAGGCGATAACAGATAGAGGAATACAGTAGTAGATGACAAGGGCGGAATTGCCGACGACTGGACACGCTCTGCCTGCAATTCTGACTCGTCGTCAGTATCATCTTCGCTAGTCAAGTCGAACGGAGCGCTGTTTGATGTTTCCTCCGTGTCTGGTACAACAATCAGGGCAGCGGTAGAGTCGAAGCCATGAATGGGGGATGTCCTTCCCGACACCGAATCATCCGAGCTGGAAGACAATCGCGGATTGTTCGACATTGCCGCTTGAGGACAGTGAACAGACAAGCAAATGAACGTGAGGCGAGCAGATGCCAGTCTGCCAAAACGGAACAGAGGCCCAAGCTATTTAGCTTGGCTCAGGCGTTGACGAAATAGGATGCGCAGCAGTGAGCAGCATCGAACATGGGTCGAGGATCGCTCCGGGGTTCTCACGCCTTACTGTAGTATCCAGCACGCCGACCTTCGAGACCCTCTCGGGCTTACTTTTCAGTTGGGCATATTGCCTTTCCTCGAATACCTCTTCCGTTCGAAAATAAGTGCAGAAGATGGAAGACAAGGGACCCTTCAATGTGTATTTGTCATACATAATATAGATAATGACTACTACATCAGTCGTCCTTCGCATCCTGAGGAGGCGCTTTCCCCTACACCTCGCACCACGCTGAATCAACACATGATGCATTGGAATGTCCACAAGACTCACCGTCGCTGTCTTTTCCGCATCGCTGTTAGTCGGACCGGAGTCGTCACCCTGGGCGTCAGAACTCGTGGCGGGCGAGTTCGGTTCGTGTTCAGTCTCTTCGGCAGCCTGAGCATCAATGGGGGAGTCCTCACTCTGTGAGAGTTTGGTCCAAATGGTCAACAAAAAGACGGTGAAAAAAAGTATGGCATACAAAAGCTTGCTCCACTGACTTGCTGAGCTCTTCTCCCGATACAGTCACCCCGTCGGCGTCAGTCATAGACTCCTGCTTCGATTTCTTCCGGAGAACGTATCTGTTAGCACGTCTAAAATTCCAGGTGTTGCACGCACCTGCTCTTCATTTGTGCCATGAGGAGGATCCTAACGGATCCTGTTAAAGCGATAGACCAATGGGTTGAGTGGAGCGACGTACCAAAGTCTGCTCTTCAGAGCTTTGCACTTCAACGGGAACTTCAGGCTCGTTAACGGGGGCAGAGCTCGCTTCCTTTTCGTGACCATGGCCATGTGCCGCACCATGGGCCTCCTTCTTGGCGGATGGAGAAATAAGGTAGAAGAACTGCACGTAACAATTAACTACACGCTAAGTCAATAGACCTGTATTTTTGAACATACAGCAGGAACAAATACAAGCGCGGATCCAATCTGTGAGTAGACTTGTTAGAGTTGTGTAGTCGCGCAAACACGTAAACTTGCCATCCACGGCCTATCACTTCCTGTTGAGTGCGCTCCATGCTCAGTGGTGCTCATACACCGCTTCGTTACGCCGGCACCGCGACTGGTAAGACGCGCAGCTGGACGCGCCAATTGCGAAGCTACGCGTCGTCCAAGACGAGAAGCCATGAGAAGAGACAGTGAGAGGGTATGCACCTGGTGTGTACTGGGGAAAGCCAGTCAACGGATTGCCAGCTAGGCTCGGCGGCAGGAATTTGAGCATCGGGGGAGACCGCGTGCGTCATCTGACATCTGGTTTTATTATATGTACACATAAAAGAACCGTCACAAGCCCGCCTAGCTCAATCGGATAGAGCGTCAGACTTTTACGGTCTAGGTGGGTAATGACGCCTAGTCGCGTGATCTGAAGGCTGCGGGTTCGACCCCCGCGGTGGGCTAATTGTTTTTCTTTTGCCTTGTGAGAGTGTAGGTTAAGACCAGTGTAATTGTTTTTTGAACTGGTTACCAACCTTGACGAGGTATGTGTATCTCTTGGGTCGATAATGTCATTCACTTTTCGACTCACCGGATCGTTCCGGAGTTGTATGTTTTTTGTTCAAGTGGCACGTCGTCCAATAGCGTCTGCGCCACCCGAGCGGCACCTTCGCGACCCTGCACATACTAAATCGCGCAACAAGATCTACGTGACAATGCAACATAAAGACTAAACAGGGACAGGTTTGAGGTAGTGGTGGTGGTGGTGTGGCAATATTCACTAGAACGTACGGAATTGTTTGTCCTTGAGAGTGATAATCCGTAAACGTGTACACCGCGATCATATCCTGCTAACTTAATTATTAATTATCACCGTATATACTCCTTTGTATAGCTCCCACCACAGACACCCCAACTCAATCCCTACTATATAGTGCTAGACTGTTTATAGAATGTGTGCGGTAAACAGATGGACATAAAAGACAAATTCTTCCGCAATGCAGTGCGACCCAAGAATATGATCAAGCAGGGTTTCAACCGGCGCAAGACGGCACTTCCCCAAGTCCGATTCGACATCAAGTGATCAGTGAAAGCTAAAACACCTTGTCTCGTCTTGCATTTGACTTAGATAGTTGTTCTCTGTTTGAGATACTCCATGGTATACTGATGTTGCTTATGTTACAATTGATTACGACTCCAATGAATTGGTATATAATGTGGTATATAACGAACCTGTCGCCTTCCTCTTATTCCTCTGGGACATTTTCGGGTGCAAAGCCTATCCCGAGAGTCGCGCGATTGCAGTATATATCGAAAGCTCTAATGTTCTCCGTGCACCTCACTCAAGACTCCAGGATACCCATCTCCTTCCACCGCTCCCACAGTGCCCCGATACCGACCGGAATACCTGGTTGTCCCTTTACATCTTTGATGTCTAGCAGCTCGTATTCTTTTCCGAAAGCAAGAAAGTGAGCAAAAAGGGAATTAAAGTGCGGTTCACTCCGCAAGTGCAGGATCTGGGGGTAGTGTGCGTGGTACAGATGTGCAAACACACGAAGTAGCTGACGGTAGACGTGCTTCACGGTAGAAGGGAATGTCTGGGAGAATTCCCGTCCTTAAATATCTGTCAGTGACGCGTGGTAGACTAGATATTGTGATATATACCTGACTTGGTCGGGAAGACATTATCGTCGTCGAGCAAGTTCTGCACCCACGTCATCACGTAATCTATGTAAGTAGGTGCAGGAAGCTGAACGCTCTTTCGGTCTTGGTTAATCCACGTATAATTCAATCTAGAATAACACTGGAGCTCAAAGAGAGGAAAAGAATGATGCCAATGTACGCACGCCGGACCAGCCGTCATAGTCGGGCATGATTGCTGGGTGCAGCATTCCGCCAGAACACCGTAGAACTGGTTCAGGTTCTGATAAAAGTCGAAGACTACAACACTGTAATGTAATATCAATGGATGCAGACTAAACGTACACTTACTATTTACTGCAACCCATTCCATGACGTCCGCATACTTTGGCAGCATTACTATATGTTTAAAGTTCCCTTTCACCAAAGCTGCCTCAACGAAGGGGCTACAAAGATATAGAGGCTTTGGAGCAGAGGGTGTAGTTGGAGTATTAGGCAGCGACTCCGTAGAGGGAAAGGATGACGAAGTAGGAGTTGTAGATCGTTTTGGAGGGCGAGGAGCACGGGCCATCGACCGACTGGTAATATTTCAGCGTCAGCATTTTGTAGTTCGGTTCTGCGAACAATCATTACGCACCCTATGGAGTTAAAGAACGACATCTCGTTACACTGATATGGGAATTGAAGGATTTGGGAGCGATGTATAGGTTGCTACTCGACGCCAGTCGGCAACTTGCAACCGTGATCGAGCAAATAGCACGTGTCAGATACAAGACGACTATTTACGACTATTTAATTCCGAGGCCGTTGACAAATACAGCTAAACAGCCGCCGTGGTGGCTGCTGGCC